GAGAAGTCCACACACACACACACACAGCTGCGGGTGCTGGCGTGCCCCTGGGACTAGGAGGGAGAATTTGCTGGGACAGGACCTCTACAAGCCTCTGTTGTTCGCAAACATGTAGGCATTCTGCAGGGGTCAAGGACGTTGAGCGCAATCCGAAGTTTTGTGCGAGCTTGGCCAACCTGGACCCCACGAAAATCAGAGGCTTGCCCTGTACTTTCAACTTACTTTTTGCTTGTTTCAACACAAGAAACCGGCCGTAATGTTTAAAGCCAAACGATGAGGCCAACACCATTGCGCGAGATACGCCGAGCACCGCCAAGGCTGCCACCGGGTTTGCCTCGCTGCAACGAAGTTCTTTCCGTGGTGCGATATCTCTCCAGGCTGTCTTCACCTTACATTTCAAGCATGCGTGCACAATCTGCATGTGTAGATAGAAACCCGGTTGCCTTCTGCAGCTGAAGAAGCTACGATGATTATGACCACGTTCAGGGCTGCAGCTGTGAAGTAGCAGGCCCGAAACGATATTGCCATTGACTGCACCAATGCAACAATAAGGCTGCCTGCAAGAGAAGTCGTGGCATGCACAACCGAGTTCTCATGATATGTCTGTTTGTTTCCAGGCTTGTCAACATGTTCTTGAGACATCCACAGGCCTGCGCACATACCCGCCACCATGGCACCTCCCAAGGCCGCTAGATTGTCAGGACATTCCTCGGCACTGGAGATGTCCGCCGTGTAGGACTGCAGCGTTACTTTGTAGTTGCCCAGAAGGCCAGCAACCCCACGGGAGCAAAATAGCAGACCCTGCGCAACTTCGGCAGGGATCTGTCTGACAATGCCCAAGGTGGGTAGGCAAAGGCCGGCGATGCCGTAATCGATCACCTGCTTTGCAGTTTCACTCTTCATCAGTGCCAAAGGCACAGCTGTGATATGCCGTTGCCCGATGCTTTCCTTTAATACACACCGTGCTAACGATATTTCTTACATGCCATACAGAAGATTTCGTACACACGGCTGAACCGTCTGTTCTCGCCTCGCCGACGATTAAGAACGACCACTGAGACACACGGAGCATCTCTTTCGTGAGAAGCCTACACAACTGTCTTATCGGTCTACGGAACCCGATGCTCCTCCCAACTACCAGTCTCGCGATTTGGACACTGCAAACCAGACGTAACCACCGGCGAGATGGGATTGACACAGAAGCCGATCCACCCTATCATCCCAAAGCTTGCTGACATCCAGGTCATCAGCCAATCTGGCCTACAGCAAGCCCGCTCCTGCTCGTAGCAATGCGGTCTCCATGCTAAGACGACTTTGACATGCCCACGACACGGGTCACATGTCTGTGCTGTCAGAACACTTTTACGACGACACGATGAACCCTGCTGATTACCTTGCCGCGTGTTCGGCTACTGCCTGCTATCTCTTGCACCATCTTCCTTTGCTGTTCCTGACGACTACATGACAAACTGCATCACCTGCCAACGGCAATGTCCACTCTCGACGGTTTCTGCTAGCATGCCCACTCACGCTTAGGCGAAGCTGCAAACGACTAACGCAAGCATCGTCTAGTGGTTATGAGGCGTCGGGGCACCTGTCCAAGCTGAGCCAAGCATTGGATAGGCCTTCGACCAAACTTGTCACTCATCACCCCAACAAGCTGGCTGGTGATCAACTCGCAGACTGCGTTGGCTGCGAGCAAGCGCCCGTAGTATCTTTGAGATTCACCGGACTCCCCTCCATCAGGGTTCGGCTTGAGGTCCTGCTCGCCGACTACTTCCTTGCATACCTCCAGCCACACATTCAGGGCAGCACCCATACCTCAGCTTCCGACACCCAATACATTAAGAGCTTTGCCGGGCCGGTCAAGGCTGCAGGGAATGTCTGCTTCTAAAAGTCGTACCCGGTTCGAGGGCCAAACACCGCTTGGCTAGTGTGTGAGGACCACTCCGTACCCAAATCAGTCTGCAGTTTTGGATTGCTGAGGTCACCGGCACGGGACGGCTTTTGGCATGGCCACGGTCGGCTCGCCTACACCCCGTTGGCTCTTTTCTGCAAGCAACAGCGGTTCATAACCGTTCAACACATACCCGTCCTGAAATGAGAGGAATTCAACATTTAAGGGCTCCAGCTTGTCAGCTTCATGTCGCTCGATCCTGTTTTCAGGGTGCAACAGGTCAAGGCAGCCGCTGATGTCCTGGGAGCGGTTGGCTCAACACAAGCGAGGGTGGGCTGCAGGCGGCCCCGAAGACAAGCAGCTCACAGTACAAGCTGCTAGAAGCCACAATAGGCCTAAGGAAGTAGACGAGAATTTGACCTCCAGCGAGCTGCCGGAATCCAGAGGTGTTAGGTTGCCAGTCTGACTGGTTTCCACCACGGTCCCACAATCATATTTCGCGATGTTGGTGTGCACTTGCGAGTCTTGTGTAGGCCTGTGGATCTTCACGGGCTGCACGGTAGCACCCAGGTCAGGGCGCTTTCTTGACAAAACGCAGACCAACAACATCCACCAGCCAACAGCTATGTTAGCTGGAGCCTGGTAAGCCCATTCCGTTCACGACATTCCACCGCTGACACCCATCGTTTGCGGGAACCGAGTCACTGCACTTTCTCAGATTTTCTCAAAACTGGCAAGTAAAGTCCTCGGCACACTCATGCGGCCACAGGTGCTAAGGTTGTGAAGCAGGCTGACCAGGACCGCCGGCCATGTTGGAGGTGCCCTGGCTGGCCGCTCGGTCTGGATGGCCTGGCTGGAGGAGACCCGCTCGCGAGACCTTGCGTCGCAGCAACACATCACAAGGCGAAGCGGACTCGTGCGTCAGAGTGCAGAAAGACAGTCGTCTAGGGGCTGCACAAGAGCAGAGAGCGCCCTCTGGATGCCCCGACATTGGAGACACCCATGATGGACACTGTCGGCGCGTCCGACGCCGCGAAGCTGCTGCGTGACATGCCGCAGAGCCGGGGAGGAGCCCAAGAAGAACTCTCTGTCCCGTAACTCTGTCCGGTCTACCACTGCTCAAGGTCTCTTTGGGCCATGTAGAAGCGGCTGGGAACACGCGGCGTGACTGCAAGTCCAGACTACTAATGAAACATGTGCAGAGAGTGCGGTGGGATCTCTCCCCTTTACGGGATGCGGCTGGCTTCACTTGTCCTATCCTAGTGAAACCACGCGCCAGGCTACAGAGCCTCAGCCAGCCCTGGCTCACACGAGGAACGGCGGGGCCGGAGGGCCCAGTCTGGAACCACGCGCCTTTGCCAGCTCAGAAAAGCTGCAAGCAAACACACAGGCTCGATACCCCATTTTAATATTCCTAGAGTACTAGATCCGGAGCACAACTTGTTCAACAAGACAAGTGCTGCTCCCAAACCCATGCACCCTTCCACAGATTTTTCCGCCGACACTGGATTACTGATTTCACAACATGAGGATCCAGGCGGTGCATGGCGGTGCCGATAAATGCTCATACATTCTTTCTACCCTCCCAAGTGGTGCATACACGCGAGCGTTTCCTTGCGGCCTCAGTTCCTTCATCCTTTCTCGCTCCTCTGAAACTGGCCTGCTGGGCACGGTAAGACACATGAGGAAGCAAGCACGCATGTGGTGCAGTAGGCACAACACCACGAAACTGTGGGCATTGGAACTCTCACGCAGATGCATGTACTTGTTCGCATGACAAGCAGCAGACATCATGTCCGTGCTTCATGCTGGTTTGCATACATTCCTACGATATGCTGCAATCACCGATGTGGCCTACCAGCCATTCACATGCGAGCACGATTCCGAAACTAAGTTTAGAAGTTGATACAAGTTCGCATGATGTCCGCTCTAAGTGCGAACTACGCATGAAGAGCCACAGCAAGTAGCCAGACATCAAGTCTCGGACTATGAAAACTTGAAACCGCACGCCGCTTGCCTGACAAGTTGAGACCGTGTCTTTCATGTTTTATCCGAAGCGGCACACTTGCCACCGTTGTACGAGGTGAAGTCACATCTCTCATCACCCACACTTCCGTCCTATGGAGCGAAGTCGTAGCTACGGATCCTCAACATCCACACGTTCCAACACTACGTTGGATCGTGCTATGAATCCTTATCGTCAACTGGCATCTTCGCCTGCCCTGGAGAGGTGTACTCAGTGTAATCTGTTGCAAAACCTGTGTTCCTCTGGAGCCGTTTACGTTCGCGTGTTGTGGCTCGTACTTGAAGCTATCGCATAGAACAGCCATACCTGCTGCATCACATCGCATCACAGCATGAAACAAGATGAAACAAGGCCGTTTCACCGAGCAGTCTCAGGTCACCAGCGAAAGAGTTGTGGCTAGTTGGAGCACGAAAATTGTTGCAAACCCAGGGCCCCAAAGATGTCGAAATGACTTGTGCACGATATTGAGACTGCTCGAGCAAACATATTTCGTATCCTTCGTAGCACAACTTCGCGTGTTCAGCCACGCCCGAGAGGTGATACTGACCCACGACGTCTCGCGGACAAACCACAGAAGATCGCGAACTGGAAGGGTCAAGCGAAAGCATGCTTGGCACTTGCAGGCTGATGAGACAATGCTGCTCTTCCATGTTATCTATTGCATATTCGACCACATCCGATCCACGATCCCGATGTGACAGCGAGTACGTTAAGAAGTGCCGCACCTGGTATCTTGTGTTGTGTTGTGGAGGGAGCCTGCTGGCAACAGTGTTTAGAGTCATCCGCAGCATCTGAGATGCAGGCTTGACCAGACTTGCCAGCGGGCGTCAACACCCTGCGCCCGACGATGATTGCCGCGGCGGTTCTGTGGCCTTGTCCAGACATACAACATCATACAACCAGCCAGACACGAGGAACCGAAGACGTGACAGTCAGTGACATGCAATGTGCTACTCAAGCTCCCGTGCAGTGTGCCGCAGGGGGCTCAATTCCGGTGAGGGCTAGCGGCTAGCTGGGAACCGCGCTCTGTTCAGTTGGCGTCGGCTGCCGTGACACAGAGGCCGATGGCGGCCCTGATGCACCAGAAGCCGGAGTTGGCGGGCGCAGATCTGACAGGCCTGCACGAAGCGGCCGTCTGTCGAGCTGCCGAGGGTTTATTAACCACAGATCTTCGCAAGCGACGAAGCGCTCCTGTGTGAAAAATGTCCTGAGCATCCGAGAGCCGCCGGTGAAAGGTGTTTGAAGCCGATGCCGGCCTCGGACAGCAGACCGATGCCGAACAGAGGTGCTTTGGCCCTTCCCCCTTATTTTGCTCCAGGTCCACGGCTGACTGCCATTGACACCGGGATCGTTCTCCCAATCTCGCAGGCCTTGCAACCTCGAGTCCGAGTGGCATGCTAACACTCCCATCAGCTCCCCCTGCAACATCCCGGCAAACCACAGCTACCAGTATGAGCTTACTCTCCAATCCTATTCACAGCTTACCCGAAACACCTCATAGGCTTTCAACCCTCACAACTCAGGGAAGAGCACATCTGCTATGGCTAAGTCCTCATCCTGACAGGAACTACGAAGCAGCCACCGCAACATGCTCTGGCCACAGTGACTTTCATGAGCGAGTGCGACGTTACCCGGCATGCCATCTGTTGGGAGTACATCAACGGGCCTCCTCCGTTTCCTCTGTGTGAAGAAACAGCATAGGTGGGGGCCGCTTCTTGACCTGCGCCACAAAACCGAGGCATCGACTGTCGCCACTTGTGAAAGTGCTGGCCTTCCGGGACCAAATACCTGCACAAGGCCGAAAGCCGAAGTCGAAAGAAGACTTTACCGAGTAAAGTGTCAGTCCGCACCTTGTGGCGTTCCGTTCTGACAACTTTGGTCAGATCCTCGGCTTGCCAAGGCCAGACAGCACGCATGCGCAGCAAGGAGCAGAAAAGTGAAAGCACGGGGCTGCAGGATGTAGTGATTCCCACTTCCTGCATGCATCAGGAGCATCGCCATGATCTTCTCCGTGACCGTCAACAACAGCAGCAACAACAACATCAGCACTGAGACACCAAGATCACAAGATCAGACTTCGCAGTCCTGCACGACAGGCTCCACCTCCTCCTTGTTTTTCAAAGAGTCGGTCTCGCAGTCCGTGTCTCTTTCCCATGCCTTGGTTTGACCCGCGCATCCACATGCCCTCGCAAGCTCACTCGCTCCGAGAACGATGCCCCGCCCACCGGACGTGGAAAACCGCACCAGCCTGGCGAGCTTCGTGTTGAAGCCGGGACGACTTTGTCGCAAGCTCGGGAGGGCTGCCAATCTCCATGTCCAGAGTACCCAAGTACGGCTCCCAAACCTTATGTGCAAAGGAAGGACTGCAAGCATGATTTAAGCCATGCACAGCTCGAACAATCACTGCCGCTCTTAAATCATTCCCAACCGCCACGATCTGTTGTGACTTAGTACTTCGGCGTTGGCATCACTGTTGACGGATGCTGCGCGCCATGCCAGTGGATCGACATGTAAACTTTGAGTCTACATGACAATCGACTGCCATCAAACATGCTAGGTTGCTGGGCATATTCGATCATGTGTCCAGCTACTTTAGAATGTTGCTGGCTCGAAAAGAAAAACTTCCAGCCTTATTAGCGACGAATGCTCTATCCTTTCGTTCCTCATGACAGAGGCGTCAAGAAGCACCTCCCCAACTGAGGCCCCGTCGCTCAAGCGCGAGTCGTCCTGACTGCTCAGGATTATCAACAGGCAGTCATTGGGAGTTCGCGCAGTGGGAATCGCGCTTGACCTTCTTCAGTGACAGCTCTCCTTTACCGGCACCGGCGCGATGATTGCCCGAGTCCAGGCCTCCCGCAACAGATCCGATGCACGGAATCGAAGGCCAGTGTCTCCCCGCTTGGGTCGTGACACTTTCTGGCTGTTCGTCCTGCAACACCACTCATTGCAATGCAGCTCCATTGCAGTGCAACGAGTCGAGTTGAAGCGTCATGCAAGAAGCAGTCCATCAGGCAGAACGGGTCAAAGGCAGGCTCCGACTGCATGGCCTCGAATGGCCGAGAATTGCTCCGAAAGAGAAAACAAAAGCAAATCTCGCGTGCCTCGCCCTCCGTTCGCCACTTCGCGGGACCCCCGCCGGCCTCCTGCAAAGCTTATGCACACAGCTTGGTCATGTGTGCGCGTGCCGAAGCAGAGTAAACTGAGTAAACCCTCCTGCGGCCGCTCCCACACCACAGGAAACGCTTCCACGGGAACAGAATACAGGACGCTGAACCTTGGCTCCACCAACACAGCCGAGGACGGACCCATGGAAGGCCGTGCCCGAGGCCCAAACATATTGGCCCACTGAGCTCGCCGGAGCCCTTTCAAGGCTCTCAATGTCAAGTTGATCGAATGCCAGCACCTGAAGCTGTCCGCACGTCCGCACATAGAAGACGTCCCGGCGGAAATGAGGCACATGCACACCAATCCCGAGAACCACGATCCGCAGCACCACCGGCCTCCAGAGCCAGGACGGGACAAGCAAGGCATCCATAGACCCCAAAATAGAGTCCCTAGAGCCTGCTGAGCGGAAACTCGCAAAGACAGAGACAGCTGGTGGACGAGCCAGGCTCTGACACGCCCCACAAGACCGCATACCTGGGCAGCTCCGAGCTTGCCAAGCTGTCCAGGGTGGGGACAGTCTGCGCATCGCAAAGCAAGGGAGACAGCTGAGGTTGACTCGCATGGGTGTCGAGCAGCGAGGTGAAAACCACAAAAACAACGGCCCACATCGCACAAAGGATAGATGAAAGAAAGACCTGTCAGTTCTTTCAGACAAGCCGAAATTCACACCTCGTGCAATCGTCCTCTCGCGTCAACATGCTTCGAGGTCCCAGCCATGATTCGAGACATCTTCACAGGCGCATATACACCTCATGACATGGACTTACAGGTGAGCAGCCAATCCGTACAAGACTTGGCCCCATGCACACCAGCAGCGAAAACGGATACATCACCTGTAGCTTGACCATGGGAAGTGACGTCGACCAAAATCGAACCGACCAAGATAAACAGAGGAGGCGCACCACCATGAAAGCAACGGTTTGGAAGAGCGACCAAAGCATGACCTCAAGCACATTACACACAGCACCTGTCCGTCAAGTCAGGGCTTAGCCGGAAGCAGGTCAAGTTCCTTTGCAAGTTTCAGGATCTCGGTGAAATCGGAGGTTTGGACAGTTGTTCGGGGGCGCATTTGACCACGAAGGTCCAAAACACTTGGCAACACCGCGAGCTTCCCAACCGCCTTGGATCTGCAATTTGGGCTGAAAAGGTGTGACGCCGGCCACCCAAGCTTGAAGACATGGTCTTGTTGATAGGAGCCGAAACAGACGCAGGGCTGCTTGGGCTTGCACCAACACGGCCAGAACGCAGCGATTCTGCGACCAAATTCGCCGTGTCTGTTGCCGTCCTCGAACACCTACAGATGGCAGCCCCGCCCCTTACATTGAGAAGGGAGAGTTGACACGACACTCTGGGGCTGCGGGCACGTCAAGCAGTCCCACAAACAAGGAGTAGCATACTTCATGTTGGGAATCGACCTCGGCTAAGGACGCTGCTCTTCAGAGGTCTCCATCAGGTCTTAGGTTGCGGCAAGATGAACGGGCGCTGGTCTTCTGCGAGCAGGGCCAGATCCTGCGCAGAGACATAAGCCCAGATCCGGTGTCAGGTCTCCGGCAGAGGTCACCCTCTACACCGCACTCTCAGTCATGAATGAGAATCGCAAGGCTGAGCAGCGACGTGAGGATGAGAAACAAGATGCTCCAAAGTCTGAAAGGATGCACGCCTCAAGGAAGACTTCGATTTGGAGCTGCGGTGGGACACGGCACACTCGCCGAGACCCGAGCCCACATTCACTGTATGGAGGCTCCCCAAGTCTCCGGACATGGCCCGGAGTGGAAGCCATGGATTGTGGCCTGAACAGCCAACTTAAACTTCAAAACACGTCCACAAACCTGTCTTCTGGCAAGGGCCCGACATGTCTGACCTGGCAGATGCTCATGCAGGATTTTCCGCCCATCTCCGTGATTTAGATTTGCGAAGACGGGCCTTTCACTGAATCTGGGAGCTGCGGGCAGGGGGTCGTCAGATTCAAACCTGGCTGGACAGCATGTAAATCCACTCGCCGAAGCTGGCCGCGGCTCTTTCTCAAGAAGTGGGACAGCAATGACAGAGCCGTCTTGCACAGCTGTTGATCTTTTCCGTGCTCAGCTGGAACCTGTACTGACATTAGGAAAGTGTGCTCGCAGCTCATCTTCCCACATCATGCCCAGTGCACTCTTCCAAAGCCAGCTGCCATCAGCTGAGCAGGGCTTAGCATTGAAAGGTTGAGAACCAGTGTAATTACAGCAGATTGAAGTATGAGGCTCGTCCATGTGTGCGCAAGTTGCCAAGTGCAAACCATGCCCGTGCTGATGCCACTCCCTCGGGTCTTGGACCGTCCGCGAGTGCCCTGCCAACTACACTAGTCCATTATCTTGGCGTTGGATGGAGGCGATCTTGCCATTCGTTGAAAAGCGATCCAATTGTGATCGCCTCCATCCTGAAGTCAAAAGAAACGCGTGAGACTCAGCAGACACTGCAGGATCCGATCGAACGAGCAGGACATTGCCAACGCCGTTCTGCGACTTTTAAAGCAAGGCTTGGCCCGACATCCGAACTGCTTTGGTCCGTCGCAAGCGAGGATTGACACACCGTGTTGCTTCGACTAACGAGCTCAGGCAGGCACAGCACAAAGCAGAAACAGATCCGATATGGACAGCCGTTGCCACCAGCATCATGAAAGTCTCACTCATCCAGCAGTCGAGCATGGAATAGAGACAAATTACTGGGTACGCCGCCTACTTTCCAAGCATGCCTCCTCCGCTGAGCAGTTTTCCTGCGACACAGCAGCTGATCTGACCCATGCTGCAAAATGCAGAAGCACAGTGGAGAGCTTGCATTCCGGCCTAAGGATTTCAAATCCATTGGCATTGCCGCACTTGCGGATTTTTTGGATTGCCTGCCGGAGGCCGCCATGCACAGGAACACCGAGCAATGTGCATGTGGATGAACAAGAATCGCTGAATTCACGTCTCTTGGCCTCGGATCCACCGCCTTTACCGCAGGCTTCGGCTTCGGGTCGTAGTGCAGCCGCGGCGTGGCCATGACCATACCCACACCGTGGATGTGCGACTCTTCCGTGAGCCCTGCGCGCAAAGAGCGCATCTGAGCACCGTCACTGCCGGTTTTTTGTGAGGCGATGACGTCGACACGCCTCCGCTGGGCATCCCTTCGAGCCGGAAGCTGGGTTTCGTTCGCGGGACCACGGCCACGGGGTCCTCCAAATGTCACAAAGGCTACGCGGGTACCACGTGAGCAAACGTCACGAGCGCCGACCTCTCTTGGCATCTCCGGTCGTTCGTCCTCCCCCTTGCCGAGCTTCTGCTGGAGCTCCTCTTGGTAAGCTCAGCAACCAACTGAGGACGCAAGCCTGCGGCGTTCGTCTAGTCGGGGCTTGGCACGCGTCCTCCAACTGTGCCTCGCGAGCGGCCAGCTGGGCGAGCAAGTCCTGCTAATTTCACAGCCTCATCCATCGAAGAACTCTGAACTTCTGTGGTCCTCCTCTCGCCGATCGGCCAGCTGGCGCACCTCCTCAATGCGATCCTCAACAGCAGCAAGATCAGCCATCGCCTGCGAAAGGGCTCACAATTTGCAGAAAGAAATGGTGCAATTTGCCAAAGATCGGACGGGCGGTCATGGCCTGGTCCCTTGCGACCTCCGCATCTGAGAGCCGCCTCCTCAGCTCGCCCCTTTGTTCGGCGGCCTCCGTTCTGGAACAGGCTTTGACGTGTCCATTTTTGAAGCGCCGTGATTTGCCACAGCACGAAGTCCAAACAAGTTTCGGCAACTCATGTTTGGCTTTCACTTCGCGTGATTCCGTGCATCTACCAAAATGAACATGTACCCCTGTCGAGGAAAGCGAGTATGGTAGACCTCGGTAGACTGTGCAAGCACTCCTGTTGAAGAGGCAAATGCCACCAATACTTTAACGGCCGCACACTGACCTGGCAACAGCTTCTGCCTCGGCATCCGCTGTGGAATACGCTTCCAGGTGGCGCTTCTCAGCTTCTGTCCTCAGGGATGCGACACATCCAGCGGATTAGGGCATAAATGCTCATGGTACACAGAGGTTGAAGACTTGCTGAGTGGAATCCTGGACGAAACAGCCTTGTCCAAGGCCGTCTGCAAGGCCCGAATGCGGCAGTCCTGCGCGGTTTGAACCCAGCAGCAGAAGGAACAGCCCGAAGCATCGGACTTCGGTCAGGAGCACATGAACAAAGCTGGAGAGAAGACTACCTGCGGACAGTCGAGTCTGGCTCGGGCTCCTGCTGCACACGCTCCTCCTCGAGCTGCTGCGCACGATGCTTCGCTTCGACCAGAGCCCATTCTCCTTGGACAACAACAAAGACTGACAGCTCCATCGAAAAGCACAGTGCTCCCCCTCAAGCATTAGAGCCTGAAGCACAGAGATACTTGGGCCAAAACACGCATGCCTGTTCTGGGATTGGTGTCGCTCCCTCTCCGTGCCCCTACTGCGGAACCGTGGCCTTTGGTTCTGCTGCTGCATCCTAGGGCAGAAAGGGCTTCCATGCCTAATGATCACCGAGCATCGGTCCTTGAGGGCCATCCGTGCTGCCAGAAGGGCTGCTTTTTGAGCATCAACAACCCTGAACTGATCCGCCTTTGCCACATCGCTCGCATCTGGCAGCTGGGCCGAACGACTCAGCTTCTCATAGACGCCAACCAGCTCCACTGTGGACTCTGCAAGGAGGCCAATCTCTTTTGCTTCACACTCCACGCGGTCGGGATGCTGCTCGTGCAGATCTGCCAGAACGACCTTCAGCTGCTTCTCGCGCAAACTGCTGCCGTCAGAGAGCTCTCGGTCCGGAATCTCGAGCTCCGGGTCATCGCTATTCACGAAGCCTACGGCTTCCAAGACAGTCAAACGAAGTAGTCTTGCAAATTTGACTTGTGCATAGTATTCGGGTTGTGGGTGCGGACAGCAAAGATTGCGGTGTCTCATGATTGCCAGTGGAAAAAACCAAAGCCTTCTGGCTGCACCCGTGGGGTTTATGCTGCTTGGACTGTCGCGACTCGGGCACTGCAGGCGAGGTGGTTGGACCCTCCCGACGGGATAGGAGTTCCGACTAGGTTCCGACTAGGCTGTTTAGGCGGCAGTACTGTTACCAGTCAGCACATGTCACAACATGACCGACAACAGGAGAACTTTTGCCTTACCTTTCTGCTTGCGGTTACCCTACTTTTTCCAACTGCATTCGCCGTGCATTGTGCTGCTCACCCAACACTATCAACCTTCCCACTGACCAAACGTGCTCTGCTGGTTTGAACAGTTAGTGCGCTCTCACCTTTCGTCGCGAATGCTTCCAGAGCCCATGTCCCCAACATGATTGACTTCACAGCCGACAGCCATTCGGTTTGTATGGTACCCAAGGCTGTATGGTATCAAGGCTGTTGCCTGGGCTGCGGAACACGGCCATCCCAGAGTTTCTAAACTTGAGCGGGGCAGGACAATAAACCACGGAGCTTTTGGCGATCTCGCTTTCTTCGGAGAGAAGCACCCGAAGGCGGCGCAGGCTCTTTACCCATGGTGATGCTTCCATGCGAGGACTGGCAGCCATGGTCCGCTTCACGCTGTCTTCAGCCGACCGGGAGCCAAGAAGGTCAACGAAAGCGATGTTGTCTTGGGCATCACTCGAACTTGCACATCTCTTGACTTACGTTGCACATTGGCCTCTCCAAAAACGCCGATCCTCCAAGTCCACAGTGCATCTCGCTGGGTCTGGATTGCTGGCGCACTCTTCCTGCGAAGAAGCAACTGTGTTCGGCCCGACCCGTCTGTCGTGCACCCACTGACTTGTTTCTTGAGAGGCAACACGAACGGCACCGCTCCCGGGGAAGCTTGCACACGATTTCATTGGAAGACGGCGAAGACAAGTTCAGGTACGCCACATTGGCCTCGGAGCTCGAGCATGCTGATCTGACAGGTTTACTGTGCCAAGGCCATGGCGTTGTGAAGGTATTGGAACACACTGAAGTTGAAGACTGACGTCAAAATTGCCAGGAAGAAGACCTGACAGACAGGTGGACCAACCGATGTGCTTGCAGAATTCGTGAAGCCACCAAAAACATGACCTGATTCTAGCGAGCAAGCTCTGGCATCTCACCTGCCTTCACTCGGGATGGCCACAGATGCGGCACACCAAGGCGTCGTGCCTCATTGAATCCGCAGCAAATTCGACACAAAGACCCAAGATGAACAGCCTCACAGCTTCTTAGCACCAACTAAGGATGACTCCCACATTGCACCTTTCAAACGACGGCAGCATGGCCGATCGGGAGTGTGCTGGGCTGCAGCTGTAGAAACGACCACGCGAGTGGTGTACTGCTCGGTCAGAGTCATTGTGATATCAGATCCAAAGGCGTCAATGCCTGGCGAAATCTCTGAAACTGCCTCCTTGTCACACCACGAATCTTGCACATATTCAAACCTGGTGCCTGGAGAGCAACGTTATGGGTCTTGTCGAGAGGCTACCCAGAGGTCACGTGCGGTTCTGCGTTGTTGTGATTGTTCTACTTGAGCAGCCAGCATAATGACAGTTCCAAAACAGCAGCTGTTTCATGCACATATACAAGCAGATGCACTCACAAACACACAGCCACACACACACACACACAAACATGCACCATCCATGTGCTGCGCATTTTTTCCTCGGGAAAACCGCGACATGAAGATTGTGCTCGACACTGCCCGAAAGCTACTGCTACATCGGCCAGCATTCAAACACAAGAACACTTGTAGAAGGCAAAAGGAACGTGACAGACCAGGTACAAAGAGTCGCGTGCATGGGTCGCCTGTGGGTATGTTCAGATTCTTGAACCCCCAAAAGCAAGGCAGTTGCGTCGCAGGACGCCCTCGACGGCTCTATCCTGGAGCGACTGCAAGCAATATTGAACAGGTTTGGTAAGCAATGTGAAGCCCGAGCTTCACGATCAAACTACCGCTGTGTGGCTACAGTGTGCGCAGGTCATGTGGCCTTTGCCACCTCCTGCGATACATCCAACAATCAAAGAACAGCAAGCTTTATGCTGCGGGCAGGCTTTTACTTCGGGCCCTTTTGCTCCATGCGCCGGTTCCATTGAAGTGCTTCATTGACGGATCTGAACCAGTCTCGCGTGACCTCGGACGAAGCGGGCTGCTGAAGCCAAGAGCACCATCACCACGGGTACCGTCAAGAAACCCAAAATTCGGTGCCTGCATTGGAGTTAGAAAGCAAGCGGCAGAAGCCCGGCAAATGGTCGGCAGCGGATATGGTGAAACAGCAACCTCTATGGAGTCACCACGCTTGAGCTCGATTCGGTCCTGCAAGCAAGTAACATGTTTCTTCAGTTTCCACCGGACACTCATGGCGAGTGCGATCCATCCTCGCCTTGCCGTCAACAGCCACCATAACTCGGGAGCTCCGAGCACTTGGGGGAACTCGCACTTTCACAACCTCAACTCGACAGCACTGGCAACTGGAGCATATGGTGGAAATGACCTTGCCCACGAGAGTGTGCAAGGGTGACATTGGCAACACTTCCGTGCATCATGTCTCGTAAACGCTTTATGCACACTTGGACCTGCCACTAAGCAAAATGAACGTCTTCGGGGCTACAAGACGGGACATGGTGCAGTTGCCCGATGGTTTGACTCCGGAGGTTCAGTAGAAATCGCGTTTGGCCTGCTGATGAAGCAAGCACCTAATTTGACATAGCCAGGCATGCTCAAGAGTCAAAGCGGAGACCTTCCTGGGGTCCTGGCCGCGCTGTCTGGCAGAACTACCGGTCGGAAGGACAAGGAATGTGGACCTGCAGCGATGCCAGTGAATTGTGCCCTCACAACGGGTTGGCCAGCTGAGCACACGGCAGACTGGAGTCAGGATGATGCCAGGCACAGCCGGATGCATCATGGAACCTCCTGCTGCCAAGGAGTAGGCAGTGCTTCCGGTGGGCGTCGCCATGATAAGGCCATCCCCTTGCACCATCGTTACGCTCTTGTCGTTGACCTTATAACGACACGCCAGCTAGTGGCCAGGGCTCTGCGTCTACATGCACAGTCAGTGCTCGTCGGTCACAACAGATTAAGATGCTGGCACACACATCCAGTTTCACCAAGTGTGGCGACGCTCCTCTATGCACGAGAACCTGCACGGCCGCTTCAAGGCAGCACTTTGCCAGAGCAACCACACCAATCCCTCTTTGCCTCGTTCATGGACTGAACTGGGATGGCAGGTGAATTTTCAGGATCGTCCTGCCAGAAGCCAAAGCGAGGGTGATCTGAACGGTCGGATTCTATTCAATGTGGGTCCTCTTCGTGCCGGTACAGACGCATCTGGAAACGCATTCTGCAAACCAGCTGCAGTGGCGGGGCAACCTTGTCAACAAAAAGGCAGAGTGCACAAGCGAACCTGAAGCAAAAAAGCGATCAGCCGAAGGGTTGCCTGTTGATGGCTGTGGTGATCTGTTGCATGAGCCACAAACAGGACAGGAGTGGAGATGGACTCGGATCTTCGAAGCTCCCACCCAGCACATCTCCACACTACATGAGTGGGGCCTGGGAGGGATTGCGAAGCCTCTGAAACTTTGGAAACAACCTGAAACAACCGGGCCAAGCCTGGCCTCGCTCTTCGTTCCCAGGATGGGCATCAGGACGCTCATCCAGTCCGAGAGCGGAAAGGGCGTCAAGAAACCCAGCGACCCGGCTGCGAATGCAATGATTGGTGGCATAGCACCGGAAAAGAGGCCAGAGGTCCAGCACAAAGTCCCATCACCTCCCAAAGAAATCACCAAGTCAATGTGCTCCTCGAGCTTGTCTTGCTTGGGTGTCCAGGTGCGGCAACGCTGTGCAAAGCCGGGTGGAAGCCCCTCGGAGGTGCCCCACTGCCACTTCGGAGCGAAGCTCATCTCGTCGCGCTTCACTTTGCTGACGAGTCTTCGGCAATCGCATGGGCCGGCACACCAACAAACTTTTCGTGGTGAGGGCTCCGGTTTTATTCCAGGGCTCCTGCCCTGCACCTCGTCCCAGAGTTCGGGCTCCAGCACAACGTGACAGCCTCCAAAGCACTTTTCGAAAACTCGACTGTTACTCTGCTATCTCTGTTGCTCTCCCTGCCTTGAGAATCTATCCACGAGGCTATGTCTCTCAGCTTCCTTGTCACCTGAGGATCGCCTGCCAGCAAGAAGCAGCACACTCCCAGGACTCTTCATCTCGGCGATTAAAGGGCCACCCTGCCTTGCTTTGCCACGAGCAGCACAGCTCTCGGCTTACCATCCCAGCGCATCCATGTATATTGCTGCGTGGTGGTGCGTAGCTCCAGTCCAGCGTGCATCCTGGAAAACGAGACAGCGAGTTCTTGGTGCATGCGCACATTCACACGTTGTCACGACAAGATGTTGGATAAACCTGCCAGGCCTGTTCCGGCAAATCTCACCGTCATCAGAGGAGCCACTCACTTGCTCCGGCATGCGATGGTCAAAGTCCCGCATCTCGAAGTCCTGGCTCATTGACCTCCTTGACATTGAACCTGGAACTTCAGAAAACTCCCAAGCGTACTGGCAGAATCGTCGCGCTGACTTGTGGCTGTAAGGGCCCTGCTGTGGGGAGAAAGCTGCTTTGATGACTTGCGCAGCTCCTCTGCTGCTTGTTTCGCATCTTTGACCTGACCGCATCGCGTCTGCTCCACATGGATCCACCATGCGAAGTCTTACGAGCAGACCCCGCCTTGCCACTCCAAATGTGCCAGCCCGTGACCTGGATGTCCTCCAACTGCGGACCTGCACGTGCCCTACTGTAAGGTTCGCCCAGGATAAATTCGCATGCATGTGTCTCGCATGCCGCTTTCCTCACCTGATCCCATGCAGACGGACAAACAAGAAACAGCCACGCCTTTGAGCAGGTCATCGGTCGGCACCGGTTTCATCAGAGGGCTCAAGGCAGCGTCCACTTCCAGCAGGCTTTGCGCAGGCTCGCTGGCAAGGATGCGGTCGGCAACGCTCAGCGCAATCTCTTCGATGGTCCTGCAGGTCACATCACGAACACACAAAGTGTTTCTGCAATTGTGCAGCATGCTGCAGCTCCAGGCCTGGAATCCGTTCCATTTGCCGATGCCAGCAGCTCTTGCAGCATTTCCTGACGGACAAGACGAGTCAACGGACTTCGGCTGCTACAGTAGGTTGGGGCACCTTGTTGGACTGTGCCAAGATATCTCGCCAACGCTGCTGGGGTGACTCAAGGCTGAAGTTGAGATTCAGGGCAAGCGAGGGCAGCTCCGGATTGTCCTCGGAGTTCCAACAAATCCGCCGTTCTCACTCCAACTCGGGTCCCGCCTGCATCGCGCTACTGCACCTGAGCAGAGCAGAGCCCGCCATGCCCAGACTCTGAGGAGCATCCTGCCTGGTCAAGTGTCCTCGAAGGCAGCCGCTCACATGCAGCGGAATGGCTAGTTGCGGCTAGTTGCTTTGTCAAGCTTAACATGAACCGAATGCGCTGGATCGCACGGCGATGCCTGAAAAGCATCGGAACTACGCTGACCATGTGCTGATATGGAAACCTTAATCGTATGCACTCACTTGAAGCTGCTGCACGGCGCAGCGTTGGCCACTCTCTCTACTAGGCCACGACGGCCACGAACGAGCCACACGGCAGCGCGCAGCGATTGCAACTGTCCGTGTGATCACCACAAGCGACACACGTCCTGTGTAATATGGGCCAATCAATGGACCTTCTTGAACAGCTGCTTGAACTTGAGGAAACAATGCAGTGGGCAACATCAGCGCGGGTGTTGGCCTGTCAAGCTTCTGCATCTCTTTTGCTGCCACTTCTGCGGCGCAGTTCACGAGTCTGCCGGCTGAATTCGATTCAAGAGAGACAGATTGAACAGCTCAGAACACGAACAGAAGCCAGTGCCGCACAAGCCAACCACGACCAAAGGCAAGCATGCGCAAACTCTCAGGGTTTGCACGGTCAACTGGCAATTGAAAACCTCTCCTCACTGTAGCCGCAATTTGCGGACTATGCCTGCCTTGCAAGCTCGATAAGAGGCTCCGAAGCTGTGAAAAAGGCCACTGGAGAAGTCAATAACGATGCTTGACGATACCGACATTTTAATCTACTCTGTTACGGCCGCTGGTCGATGGGTGTTGCTCAATCCTGCAGTCAGGTCAGGAAAATTTTGGAGCCCTGTCAGAGGATGGGAGCTGCACCTCAGTGGCCAAATAGATGCCGGAGAACATCCACCAAGCAACTGAGCCGCCAACCATAAGCCCTGTATGGATCCGCCGCACTGCCAGGCTGGAACAGAACAATGCCATCCTGCATCTCATCAAGCTGTTCTAGCTCATCTAACTATTCAGCGGACACGAGCTCAGCGACTGGCTTGCCGACAGGTCTTGGGCTCGTGCGCACTGCAACCAATACTGTGTCGCTGCCGTGCGCCAAAGAACACAAGCCTTCAGAAGGTCAGTAGAGCGGAGCTCGTTACATGAGGGAGTACAGAGAATCCGCTTAAGGTCACGACTGCATGAAGTGGCAAGCTTCCTGCTGCCCTGCGCCGGTCCTCGAGCCGTGTCCGGCTCCAGGCATAGAGATTGCAAGTGGCGGCGCTCAGTCCCCCACATTGTAAACCTGCGCAGCCTCCATGAGCTGTCGGTGCAACTGCTCCACCTCCACCTGGACTGCGAAGCAGCGGGTCGAGAGCTGGTCAGGGCTTCCGATAAGCCAAGACCCTCACCTGCGTGCCATTTGTCCAGGCACCGTGAAGCAATCCAAAGGAATCTGGTCTAGACGTATCCAGGATTGCTGCCTCGTTCGTTTACAAGGCAGAAGAATTCCAGAGAGCCTTCGGGGGCCCTCGGGGGCCAGACAATCCGGTGCAGGAACCGGATGATGCTTTCGACATCTCCGGTCACGCCCGCGCAGACCATTCGCCTCGGCGGCACATCCAACTCTTTTCCGATGCCGCACGGGGGGCTTCTTTGCGCCGGAATTTCGTGCGCTTTTTTTTGACGGCGAGCCCAGCTTTGGTGCGTGCTGCAAGGCATCCAACAGACAGAATGACAGGTGGCGTTCGTGGACCATGGCGCAGGCCGGCAGCATGCGCCTTCTGAAAAGGGTGGACTGGAAGGTCGCCTTTGCGCACTGCTCCGTGACCTCTCAGAGCCTTTCAGCTGCCACTATGACCTGAAGGCTCGTTCTGCAAGGAGGATGCCAGGCTTCATCGCCCCGCATGAGCGGCATGTTCCAGGGATGTTCCGTACCCTGTGCATCCACTGCTCACCAGCAGGTTGTTCTCGGCGGTGCTTCCGCGATGATGAACTCCTCCAGCACTGAGCGCCTGTGGATCAGCTTGGAAATGGACAGGTGATGACAGGCTCTGCTGTCTGGTTCACCGCGCATAAAGTTCTCCTACCAGTACTGAGGCTGAGGCATCATTCTTGTCTGAGGTCCATCAGCTGCTTCCACGGCCAGCAATCGGCCCAAAGACATGCCGTAAGAAGCCAGGTCTGTCTCATGATGAAGTGCGAGTTCGTACAGCGCAGCAATGTCGCTTAGCTTCAGCTCCAGCCAGTTCCTGGGCGGCAAGGTGTCAGGGGTCGTGCTGCCGAAGAAAACGTCGGCCACTGAATGCAATCAGCGCTCGAAGGGGTCACAGCAGGGTTCACCCAATGAAAGAACTTCAGTCTTTTCCAGTCGCCGAGCCAGCCGCCACGACTGCTCACAAACTCGTTCGAATCGTCCAGCGCAGCGGATGCCACTCGGGGCATCTTCGGAGGGAAGGACACCTCAAGTCTCCCCTGTTTGCCGAAACCATCACTTCCCAAATACTTCCATGCTGTCCCACACTCAAAAGAAACTCGGGGCCCTGCCGATTGAGCAGTAAACTTTAGGAGCGCATTCAAACCACGCTGCTCCCTTTCATAGGGGTGCAGATGTAACCAGGAGAAATACCTGGCAAAAAAAACACCTTACTGGAGCTTGCAAAGGCCCAATTGTTATGATCGTTTCAAGAAACAGCCTGTCACACTGCCACAAGACCGCAGCCCACCTCGTGTACCACTCCGCCGTTCGGGCGGAGGAACGGATGTAAAGAAAGCCTCGGGAGTAAGTGGCACCAGCAGAGGGAACTTGCAAGCGAAGGGCCGCGCTTACTCAGGAAAGGGCCCATGTTCAAGCAGTCCGCATCCAAATGCCGGGCTACCAATATGTCCAATTGCTTGGCTTCTGCAAACGTTTCCAAATGGTGCCGCGGATCTTCAAAGAGAAATGTGTCGAAGTCGAAGGCGACCCTGCCGGCAGGAAGCAACGTCACCACAACAGCTCATGTTTTAAGTGGGCTTCGGCGGAAGAAATTTGATCTGAAGCTTTGGAGACCACAGGGCATAGGAAGGGAAACCTGTGGAAAAGCTGCTGAGCTGCCAAGCTTCGCATCAATGCCAAGCTGTAGCAGCAAGTGCACCACACTGTGCCTTTGAAGTATTGAGCCGAGCTCCTGGCTCGAATCCGGAGCTTTGCTGGTCCTTGTGAGGCAGGCGTCTATCTTGTGTCTACATGGGTCTGAATGCCAGTATCACTGTGCCACCTTCCATCGCTTACCAGACAACAACAGCCAAACGTGGCCCCCATGTCTTCTTGGCGAGCTGCGCGAAGGGATCCCAACAGCCAACCAAGCTGTTCGCCCAGCCACCATTGGCTTCAACGGCCACTTCACATGCTTCCCGACATGCCTGCCCCATCGCCACCACCAAAGTTGGTATGTGCAGTTTGTGCATCCATGCCACAAAGGCAGGAATCAAGCGGGACCAACGCTGCCCCCACATGAAAGTAGTGAGGACAACCTTTCTCTTCGGCTGCGGCAGCTGGCACGCAGGGAGAGCATCTGCATTCCAAGAACAACCTCTCACTCTGCACCTGTCGTGTGAAATGCCGGAATAACCACACTCTCTGAGCTGATGCCGTTGCGAAGCTCTGACAAGCTGCATGATAATGTCGAGAACTGTTCTGAAGATCGGTCGCATCTTTAATACCTGGCTTGCATCCGCCATGCCGATTAGCCATTCGTAAGGGCTGGCTGCTGCGAGGATCTCCACCTGGGTCTCTGCCGTCTCATCAAATCCAAACGGCATCAGTTCCTCGGGCAGCAAGCGTAAATCACCAAACGCACGGAATCGCTTGGCCACAGGATGCGTGCCTCCCCATCTGTGCACCTCTCCATGAAATTGCCGACCCAGTGCACGACTGTATTCAGGACGCTGGAACATGGCAGACAGCATGCCCAAGACTGGATAAATTGGCCACTGGGATGCAGAGACCAAGTAGAAAGGTAAATCTTTCAGAAGCTTCTCGACAGACTCTGCCCAACTCTGAACTCTGCCAGTCAACCTCATTGCTGCGGCGGCCATCTGCACAACGCAGAGAAACAGAAAGCCCAGAGGACATTCATTTTGGGCTGCATCGGCGACCCTTTGAGGTTCCGCACCGAAAGCATCCATCACGGTCTTCAAAGAAAGCGTGTGTTCCAGCGATCCCTGCCCGGGCTCCAGTCCGAGCATTCCCTGATTGCAAAAGAGGTTGGCATGTTTCAGCAGTTGCCCCCAGTCAATGCCTGATGCCCACTTGGCACCCTGGCAGACTACAACCGCAGAAGATCGTTGGGAAATTGGCTCGTGAAAGCCGCTGAAGTGATGCAACGCTTCGTAGACAGGCCAGCGCGAGCCGGCGATCACTAGAATCGGAAAAGCCCGTAACATGCTCGACACAGTTTCACTATGTCGTGTCTGCACCTCACTATCGGCGTGCTTGACCAGCAAAGCATATGAGTAAACAATGGAAAGGTATAGTGCACCGAGAGGGCATGCTTGCATGGCAGCTTCACTGCTTGCCCGGAAGGCGTACAAGATCTCACCAGGTACGAAAAAGTCAGGGTCACCGGGTCCTGCATGTTCATATTGTCAGTTCAGAAGCTGCCCTCGCGACACACATCGCATCGCAAGCAGCGTCCTTGGAAACCTTCCAGAACCGCTGCATGCACTTCATCCCAGTCCAGTGGCACTTTTTCTTCCACGCAGTCCCAGTTGTGGAATTGTGGCAGGTCGCACCTTAATTAGGCCAAGAATCAGCCACAAATCTATCGGACAAGAGACGACTTTTCGATTGAGCTGCTTGATTACTGGCACCAGCATGAGAAGCCACACCATCAAATTTGTAACGGCCATTGTCGCAGAGGCGTTTGCGGCACATTGTAAGCTTGCGTAAAGCTAAACCTGCCTGGCACGACGGCTAGTGCCACTGAGCCCCAAACGACTACATCAACTTCGAAAGCAGTTCGACGGTTGCTAGTGACTGCCAGTGCTGCTGAGACGGTGATTTCTTGCTGGCACTACACTCAGCTGGCAGCTGCGTGGGTAAGAGATGCCACCTGCAAGGGTGCAGCAGGCTCAGGAAATCGGCAAGGAATGCCTATGTGCTTCCACTTGGCAGCTCACGGAGGCGATGCAGCAGGCTGCACCAAATTGCATGCGAAGCTTGCGTCCGCCACGTGGTCTGAAGAAAGGCAGGGGGCAAATGCTTAGCCACTTGGCTGAGCAGCAGACTGCTCGGACTCGGCAAGCGGCTCTGGCCATCCCAGACTGTCCAGGGCCCCCGTGAAAGGGTTGGGTGTCCCAGGTCCTGCTATGATGCATTGCTATGCCAATTCCTATGCCAACTCTCGACAAGCTCTAGCGAATGCAAAAGCCGTCGGAGTGGCCCCGCGGGCAAAAGCCCAAGCTCCACCATCTGCGTCATCCAAAACGGCCCACTCTAGTCGATCGGGACACCTATAAGCAAAAAGTGACAGTGGAGAGCACGTGTTGCCCAGCAGTTGCGCAACTGAGAGCACGACCACCGCAGCACACAACGTCCCAAGCGATAGGCGGGCCGATTCTCGCAAAGGAAAGGCCTCGCTTGCGGCATACTGTCAGCAAAAAGCTGCGACGATTTGCTGGGGATGCTGCTCCAGACGATACACGCCTTGGCTGCACAGGCAATCTCGTCAAGCGTCGCAAGCTTCCGAGTATTACTGCAGGTCTCACAATTCGGCCCGGCACCGCAAATGGCAGTGACGCGAACGACGGCAGGTTCCTGGCATATCTTGCAGAAAAATCACGCAAGCTCGGGTTTGAAGGAAAATTTGGACAAGTGCGAGCCCATAAAGCGCAAAGGGAGAAGACAACGCAGGGCGCGTGGACGGGCCTACCATCGTGATGACGACGACTACGAAAACAAAAGCGACGACGACCGGCTGCTGTGGCGGGTGGGCAACAAAGGGGAGCTTTGTGAGTCGCTGCCAGGCTTGGTCATGTAACTATCCATGTAGCAGCTGTATGTTTCTGCGCGTGCTGACTCCTGTCAGAATGTTGGGATCGTGGTGTCCTGCTACAAGATGCGACATATCAAATTGTGCCCGGAGGATGGCCAAAGAGAACATGGGCAATGCTTCAGCTTGAACTGATCGTAACGATGGTGTAGATGGATTAGCCAGGCGGGCTTACGCGAAGGATGCAGCTCACGGCACCGCGTCCACCAAATTTAGGGGCAAAGGCTTGGCCTCGAGACAAAGATGACTGTCGATGCTTTGGCTGCGATGCGATCTCTTAGGGCTCCCTCGAAGATTAGAAATTCGTCCGCGAAAAAGCCTGGCCTGGGCCTGCAGCTGCTCGGAGCTCAAAGCGGCCCGGCAGTTCTCACAGGAGGTGCAGGAAAGGCTCACTTCCAGCCTAAGCCATGTGTGACACAAGCCGGCAAAAGGCTGCGGAATCTTAGTACACCAAGCTGCGGCCAGGCTGTCGATGTCTTCGATGGATCATCGCAGAAGCATAAGCCCTGCCGCAGCAACACGACGTCGAAGAGCTGGCCAACCTCCCGGGCACGTTCGAGATTAACGTGGCCCATGCACGAGCACTCCCTCTGCAGCCATCGCCTCACATTGGCCATGGCTGTAGAGTTGTGAGCCAAAGTCCTGCCAGCAAGTCACCGCCTGTAAGGAGGTACTCAGACAGCGCCTGCCTGTCTCATCAACACAAGCTGGACAGTCCTGTGTGTTGTCGAGGAATATGAAGCGATGATCTAGGTACACAGGTAGCTGCCACGGCAATGCCTGCGGCCTGAGGGATGCTTCGGAAAGCTCGAGCAATGACCAGCCCAACATGATTCGGAATGAAGCAATATTCCGCTCCGAAACAGATCGAAAACATCCACACTATGTCACCAACTAGGGTCAACTTTTAACCCCTGTCTCTCAAACCCTGCTGATGCCGGTGCCCATCGTGCAAGATATCATCTGGTGTGCCAAGGCGACTCCGCGGCTTCTGAGGAGGCAGCTGCCAAAAAGGTGTCACAGGATTCCGCACATCTCCCCCATACACCCGGATCTGCGGATGACAGCACGGGAATCACGCGGGACATCGCAGGAGGGACACGACCAGTCACGCATGCCTTCGTCCTGTAGTCGGACCAGGCTCCAGCCGAGGAGGCAAAGGCATGCGCAAGCATCACCTGGGCGGGACCCACAGTCCAGGCCAGGCAGGCAAAGCAGGGGTCCTCTAGAGGTTAGGTGGCTATGCTTAAGGCACTGACACTTGTAGGCACATATCTGGCCTTACGGACACGAGCGAAAAAAAGGCTCCTTCCTCTGTGCTGATCTTCTTGCCTGCGCTTCTTGCAGCATGTCGTCAGCACAGCCATCAGCAGCCGAGAGAATCTTCAGGGAGCCACTCCAACCTTCCGTACCTGGCTGGCCCAACGACGTGACAAACGTTTGTCGAAAGCAACAAGCACCTAGTTGAGGCCTGACAGCACGTCGAAGATGTACTTGCACGTTGAATTGAGGATCTCTGCGCAATTTCCGAGGATTTCCTTGCTGTCCTGAGAAATCGGACAGCACCAACAACGCATGCAGAATGCTGGCGTCGGAACTTACTCTCTTGACCGGGCGTCCTTGATGCTCCTCCAGCCCGGCAGCTCACGCTCTCCACGACCACAAACAGAGCCTGCGCAAAAAAAAGAGACAGCCCTGCTTCGTGAGTTAGGAGTTCAAGGCCGCTAGGGGGAGCGCCTAGGGCGTAAGGTGTTGGGCAAACAGCACGGGGCATCCTCGGCAAATGCTGCACAGCAAGCAAAGAAGTGCGCTCATCACGAAGTTGCTTGGCAAGTCACTGTCGTAAATCTGGCATTAGCCCGTCAGTTCGAGTGATTGGCATCTCTTGTTGGCGCACGTGTTGGGTGTCCTGTAGACAACTCAACATTGGCACTCTCGGACAGTGACAAAAATGCCGAGACCAGCCGGCACAGCCCGTCCTGAAACGTCCCATATTTCTGGTCGAATCCATCTTGGGTCCAGCCACCACTTCCCAACTTCTGCAGATGGCTCTTGTCGGCACGCGGCGCATGTTGGACATATTTGTCCACAGCGTGGGTGGAAAAACCGTTCTGCACGGAGCGACCGCTCCCAACCATATCGGAGTTCTGCGTCCTGCACCACAACGGAACGGCAGAAACCTGCAAAGAAACTCTCGTCCACTTCGTCAGCCTGCGTTCCTTAGCTTGACCCTTCGTCACGAACTTTGCAGGATCGACCTGGCGGCGCTGTGCATCGCAGATCTTCGCAGGGTGAACTCATGCAACGATCGCTGCCTTTGACCGCTGCACGGAGCTTGCCTGGGGCCTCAAGGTCAATTGAAGTTTGCAAGTGTGGGGAAAGCCGTTCTGCCCGAGGTCCGAAAATCAGTACCCGGACACGGAATGGCAACTCAAACACGTCAAACGACGTATCCCGAGAGTCTTACAGTCTGGACACAGACATTGAGGAAACAAGGATGCCATGGCTTGCACAATGTCGGATTCAATATACGGACGGTATCAGTGTTGAACATGACCGGACGGACTTCGCGCAAATTCATGCGCGATTACATTTACAGTCCCCCGAATCCCATACATCACTCAAGAGTCTCTTCCTCTTTCCGTCGAGCTGGTCTCGATGCTGCAGTACTTGTATTTGACTGGCCACTTCGATTTCAATCCACATCCCAAGTTCGTTCGATTTTTGCTCAACTGTTCCCCACGAAATTCAACAAAAAATCTCCTGCGGCTCCAACGGAAAAATCTCCTGCGGTTCGAACGATGCACTCGGGCTTCCATCCTTCCCGAAGCGGGTTCCTTGCATACCTTGTTCCAGGAGTCCTGCAGCTCTGACTTGCCCTGCGACGTCCGACAACCACCCCCTTGGTGAAAGGCTATGCTGTATTTCACCCACCTTCTAAAGCTCAGGATGAGCTCAGCGCAAATGCTGCAATCTCCCCGCAGCCAAGACACGAGAGCGGACCATTGAACTCACATCCTCTTTCATGGAGCATCTCGCGGCCTGAATGTTGCCGGCCCTGACATGTTGAAGCTCCGATTGAACTCAGATGACAAGCTTGCAAGTGGAAAGACCTATCCAGTGAATTACGTGTGCCTGCTGCCCGTCACGGTGAGTGAGGCTGCGTTCGGCATGTTGGGACTGCGCCCCGCATGCCTTGGCGCGATCTTTGTGAACATCATCATCCAGCAATCAGGAATCATTGCCCGCTCTCTCTGCCGGTCTCGTCTGCTTAGCTGAAGCAACCAACATCACACCGAGAGTTTGAACCCGTTTCCCCTTTCTTGCCGTACAGGAAAGGCTTCACGGAGGATCTCCAACTAAGAGTCCACCAATCAAGAACAACACACTCTATCTTTCCCAGGCATGATTTTGAAGGAACTGAAGGAGAATGCGGACCCCCCGCCACCCCCTGACCCCACACACGAACACGCACCTGCATGTCTGGCAGGCGCACTGGTTTCGGCAAACGTCCATCACATGAGACACAACTCTCTCTCTCTCTCTCTCTTTCCCTCTCTGCTTTGCTATCGTCCCAACAACCCAGAAACAGGTGCTAAGTCGGGGACACTTCGCGAGCGCGACTTCGTTGGTCCAGAGCAGCGACTGCCACAGCTGTGGCCATCCTGGGACCAATGTTTCTGACATGGACCCGTCCTAGAATACCTCAAGGCATCATTGCCAACGTAGTGATGCGCGTTGGTACACACTCTAGCGCCTGGCACGTGTTGGGCCGGCAGCTTCTGTCTTGGTGCTGCGGAAGCCTCAGCTTCTGAAACTCGGTCGGAAATCGCGAAAGACACCAAAATGAAAGCACGTGTCGTCATGTCAGAAATGGCGAACTGCAATCGCAAGACTGCTGCAGCTCCAGTTGTCGCCGCAGTTCTTCGTGCTCGAGCTCCAGTGCCTTCCAAACCCATGCAAGACGTGCCGGAGCATAGATAAATAGACACTGAGACATACTCCAAAATTCACCAGCCAGCCGGCCAGCAATCACACGACCCTAACGCGCACCATGCCACGTACGGTTCGACTGCTAGAACAGAAATATTCATCGGTCTGGTAGATTAGGTAGATGCTGCCATAGCAGGCAATCAGGTGGCCTTCAACCGGAGTGCTGCAGAGTTCTGAGATGGCCGCGGCTCTGTATACACATTTCTTGGTCCTGATGCCACGACGACCATTTTGACAGCAAGCTTTGACATGCAGGCACGACCTCCATCCCAACCAGCCGTCTGCGCCGAACATTTGTTGCATCCGTTGCCTCGAGGAGCTACAGTACCCGACCAACCAGGCAGAAGTTGCTACAAGTATCCCGTGGTCGCTTGGGCCGGCACTGTTAGCTCGGCATCTTAGATGCGCTTGCCAACCAGCTAGACGGTGGGTATCACCTGCAATACGTACAGGAGGCGTGCTACGAAGCAAGTTGACACAGACCAGCTCGGGCGAGCACGTGGACACTGGTTCCAAACAGAATCACCGTTGTTGTATAACCTCCGCGTTTCTCATTCCGAACCGAGCATTCCACACAAAGCAAGCTGCAAGAACGAACCTGGTATCGAATCGGTTGACATCGGCATCCGCCTGCACAGGTGTGTCTAGATTACATCAAACACACTAGCCCTGCACAATCTCCGGCCTCCAAACTGCCCGGCATGGCGAAATGCCATGGCTGTTGCCTGAAATGGGCTACCTATTCATGGAATGCCTAGTGTGGCAAATGATGTGCCAACTGTGTCAAGGTCTCCACATGCCAGGCTCGATTGGAACACAACGAGGTGCCGGCAGATGAGCTGTCCAAGCCTGGCATGGACAAGGACTCCGCCAGCACTTTTGTTAACCATCCCGCTCCTCCAGGCAAGGATCCCTGCCTCAGCGTTGTCCATGCGAGGCCCGCCGTGGGATTTGCACTGGCAAGCCTCGTTGGCAAGGCGTGGTCATTACCCTTTACCTCGGCGCTTGCGTTGCAGGCAACATGTCACAATCGCACCTGCGGCATCAACCCATTGGCATGGATGGTGCGCCAGCCACATGGCGGTTGCAACATACTACTTCGATTTACTACAACGTGTTTTCTCGCGAAGATCTGCGTGCCAAACACGATCTGATGTTCTGTGTAGGTTCTGTGGTTGGGTTGTCCGAAATAATTGCATGCTGCGCATATCCCATACCACACGGGATTCTTGTCAAGGCATTGACAACCTTGCCGTGTTGCAAATGTATTTCTACGCTTGTCTTGGCTAAAAGCGCAACAGCGGGCGACAGTCGCACATGGACTTGTTTGGCCCCAGCTGACCAAAAGAACGGACTGCATCTGTGAAAAATTGCGAACACCTGAAACTTGTCAAACATGTCAAACCCTTCTTCATGCTGCTGCTTGTTAAACTCTTCGAGTTGCTTTCGCCAGCAGCAGCCATTGCAAGTCCTTCGCCTCCCGATCGAATCTCCATTGTGGGGTTGCGCGGGTTTCGGCACCGACCACTTCTCGACCGTTGTGCCGGTCAGTCAGTCAGTCAGTAAGTAAGCCTCGTGTAAAAACACATGGGCAGATATACCGTCTTACAGGCGCTTAGCGCGTGCGAAGGCAATATGTGTAGACGCAACGACGCCATACTATTGAAGGCTGCTGCCACATGCTGGTCAAATTTTGTGTAGAACCCGCGACATCTAAGGCAAATCTGTACGCTTCTGTGACCCAAGTGTCTCGTGGTCTACCGTGTCGTCGGGCAGAAGCAGACAGCGTCAGTTGAAAGGAACCATTTTTTTTCCACTACCCGCTATCCGTGCCCGCTCCCCGCAGATCGCCGCCAACCTCCTGCATGCGCTCGCCGCACCTCATGCCAGTGGCTCCCCTGCAGTCGCGGCGGCAGCGCAAGCCGCTGACCACCTTGCAGCTCAAGGCTACCGCGTCCCCGCTTGGGATGCCCCTGAGCGACATCCAGCGCAAGCGGATGACCACGACCGGCCAGGACACCGTCTCCGGGGCTGGCAGCGGTACACCGCCCGCGCCTGTGACCAGCGCGCGTTCGAGACGCATTTAGCCACCCTACCTCCCGCGTCCCGAGCGCTGCTGCTGTCCCAGGCCGAGCCAACGCTGCCTGCTG